TGAAAAATTGACCCTTATGACTGGTTTTGTGGTCCAGGGTCACATTTGTACAAGCATGATTGCTGGCATCACCTTCATGTCTCCGTAGTGCAGTGGGTTTCTCATGTCATGGGCGTAAATCACACTGACTCCAACATCTCTGACTGTGGTCATCACGCCTTTCACTGTAACCGTGGCGACTGCTGAGTTAGTGGACGACCAGCTGAAGTTGCCACTTCCTCCAGTCACCTGAAACAGAGGCAACATCACATTAATGCACAGATTCAACCACACACGGAAGACTAGATTCAAAGGTTATTTCCTCTCATGCGTTTAGACGTTAATATTTGATGAAAGAAAACAACAGTGTCAGACACCTTGATGGTGTACTGGTACGCTCCCTCTTTAGGCTGCCATGGGAAAGTGAGGATGGCGGGAGTGAGGACGATGGGGTCGTAGATCTCCACGTCCTGCTCATTACGCACAGGAACAGAGAGCGTGTGGACACTTCCTGTCTGAAGACACAGATGAGGTTACAATAAACCACAACAGCGTCAACCCAACAACACTGAACACTGGGAAGATCCCAGGAATTATTATTCAAAATGCTTAAACGGGAGACAAACCCCTACTTGATCAACAACCGCTTCCAGCGTGCCATCAATGATGGTCTGACCGCGCTTCAAAGCTTTCACATGGTGGTAAGATCCATTAACAGACGAGTGCAGGACCTCAAAATACTCTGTAGGGAACATGGTTTCTATACGGATATTCTGAGAAAACAGGAGTTTTTAATTAAAAAAACAACACTACCACAAGATGTGAATTCAATTTACATTAAAAAAAAAAAGTTGTAGCCATTGAGGAAACCAAACCACTGTGGGCATTTTTTTAAATAAATGTAATATATTACTTATGGTTTAGAGTGCACTTCCCAACCACCCTGACGAGCTTCATGTCTGTGAGAGACGGGTGGCAGATGCCTGTTGTCTGGGATGACAGACATCTTCCCAGAGAACTAGGCTGATTTTAAACTCTTGCTGCGGGCTGCTTTTTTCCCACTAAAGGGTTAAAGTATGTTTGACATACTGCACATTTGAATGAAATGCTTGTATTGAAATATTTTACCCATTTTATTTTCTACCTATGATAAAACTGTGCACTGTACTTCCAATGGATGGACAAAAATGATGACAGAAATGTACAAATATCTTCATTCAACATCTTCATCATAAGGGCGAGTAAATAAGGACCATTTTCATTTTTAGTTGAACCCTGTAATTTAGAAACTCGTGGCTACCTTTTCAGACACCTCTGCATGATACGAGAAGAGCATTCATTTAATTCCATGGCACTGAAAATAATCATTTTAAACATCCAAACTTGACTTACATCAGAGAGGTAAATCTTGTGACCTGACTTATCAAACACTTCAATGAAGATCTCATATTTCCTCCCCGTCTCAAGGACCCAGCGATCCTCAGGATGAATCTTGAATGCTAGAAGACGAGACGATAAAAAAGCCTTTCATTACACTATTTCAATCAATTACACTCAAAGTGTTATTAATTTCCATTTAATGAGAAATCTTTCTTCATGCAAAGATAGTGAAGAGACAAACCCAAGTATCCAGGCTCCACGACATAGATGGTGCTGTTGGGAAGTCGGGAAGCGCCCTGCATCCCGAGACCTTGACATTCAGAATGAAGGAAACCTCAGAATAAAGTTATCAAAGCGACTGATGCAAATAAACATCCCATGCTACAGAAACATCCCTCTCTTCATGAGGACTGGTGTTGTTGAGTGGAATCTCAGAGCTGGGAACGGTCAGTAAGTTCGCCGCTGGTGTGAAGGATACTCTTGTGGTCCAGCACGATGTTGGTGTGTCCCTGCTGAAGCGCAAACACGGTCGAGCTGCTCCGGTCCAGGTTTGCCACAGGGGCATCTGGGTTTCCGTGAGGGGCCACCACTCTGTTCTGAAGGAGAAGCTCGTACTGATCGCAGGGCATGGACAGCTCTGAAAGAGAGGAGGACACGCTCAGAAACAAAGCACGTCCACTGGATTAAAACCCAACATGGCCAACACATGCAGACCTTTTGTGACCATTCGCTTCATTCCCAATAAACAGAAACGATTAGCAATTGATAATCTAGAGCAATCCACATTCCTACAGTGTTTAAATGGCAATAGAGCAATAGAGAGGCCAGAGTTCAGTACTGCAGCTTTAATTCAAATAATTTTAGATGCTTTTATTAATTTTATTCTGAAAAGCATTTTTGACAGCGGATTACAGCCTGTTTAGTTTGTTAATTTCGTCTGATTATATAAATCACACTGTAATAACCAATAAAGAAAACGATTTATTGCTGAATTGATGCAATCTCACCTGTAATCTTTCCTTGCCGAATTTTCTGGACTTTGTATTTGATGGAGGTGCCGGCAAGCAGATAAACGTCATATGCAGGACTCAGAAGGATGTTTTCCAGAATCAGCAATCTGACTTCAGCAGCACCAACATCCTGAAAAACAGTCAACCAAAAAAGACATTCAGCAGAACATTCACAGTTATGCCATAACATTTGCAAAATATGGCCAAACATCTATTCAGATGAAGTGTAAAAGCAATTGCAAAATTGGCATGAACCTTGTAGATTGCTTCTTGTATTTTGGCTTTGAGCTTGGCATGGCCGGTTTTGATTCCTGAAACTAGGATGATATCTCCCTGATGTCCCACTCGCTCCATCTCAGAAATATAGGCAGGAGGCGTGTACGCCGACTCCGCAAACCTCAGCACCCTGCAGACAGACAGCTCAACATTACACCAGCATTCACGCTTCTCAGAACAGAACATAGGCATAGCAGATGCCATATAAAACTAAAAATGAGGATGTGAAGGATAGCTGTACTGTCTTATGGTTGGCTAATTTTAACAGTTTTATTTTATTTATTTTTTTGGAAAGATGCATCTTCAAATGCTGCATCAGCAGAACATTACAATGCACTGAACAGACTGTATTATGCATTCCTCACAGCCTCGTTTTCATTCATCAATAATTAAAAGGATAGTTCACCCAAAAAATAAGAATCCCTCGTTTACTCACCCTCATGTCGTTCAAACCTGCATGACTTCCCTTCTTCCATTAATAAAAAAGACAATATTTTGAAAAATGTTGTTTTGTACTCCACTGACTTGTGTGTGGATAAAATAATTTGAAACATTCTTCAAAATATCTTCTTTTGCGTTCTACAAAACAAAGTCTTACAACCTTGGACTATGATTTAATTGCTGAATTTGTATTTTTGAGTGAACTATACCTTTAAAGACTCAAGTATATTTTGCTGTATGAATATTTGAATATGCAATACTGTTGTGAATTTGACTCATTTGTTTCTAATGTTTCTTATTTTTTCTTTGTACTACATCTCCCACAATTCCTAGTAAACTGCATTTCCATATATGGTGCACTACATTACCCATATTCCCCTGGTTAAGGTCTATAAATAGACCTTACTTCCTTCCTTTGTCCCTTTTGCATTGGTGAGGTGTGGGTGTTTGAATGGACACCCAACCATGTTCTTTGAGTCCTTCCCTTAGGATGCGTTAAGTAAGTCTGTTTGCCAATTGTATAGTTTGAATTTGTTTATTTGAATTGTTTAGATATTTAGTCCCTATTTGGATTGAATACAATATTGATGTTTATTGATGAATTGATTGCATGAGTTTGATTTCTCTTTTGTATTGTTTGTAGTGACTTAAAACCATCCTGTTTATCCTATGCATCCTGTTCATCATGTCCAACCTAGTAGTCCTGCTCCATGTGACTTTGTGAACTTCATGTCATGTGAATTGCTAAAGATTTATGCTTCTTCAATCCAATGGAATAAAAGAGAGCAAAGGACTGGTGTTTTCCCAGTGTTTTAATCAGACACGCCACCAAGTTTCTACAATTTAACGAACTTTGGATATTTTAACATCTCATATTCAACAAATACACCAAAATAAAAATCAGAGCCTCTACTTTTAAACATAAAAATCTGTTTTATTCTAGCTTAAAGCATTCTTTTTTAATCAACACTTGAATATAGGTAGGTTTCATAAATTCATTATTTTGAGTAAAAAGGTGAGAAAATCAGATTTTTATCAAAAACTACATCTGGATAATATTCAGAACGATTATCAAAGCATAAATCCAGTAAATCGCTTCCATCAACACCTCCAAAGCTTGCACAGACATAT